ACAGTCGAACAACGTGTACGAGCCTTGGGTATGGTACAGATGGGAGCCAACCACGCCCATATTGCACGAACCTTCGGTTGCTCCCGTGTTGCCGTTACCAACTTGATGTAACGTTACAGACAGACAGGGCGGACCGCTGACAGGCCAAGAACAGGCAGACCCAGGGTGGCCACGCCCCATGATGACCGCTACTTGCGTACCTTGCACCTCCGAAATCGCTTCCTGTCAGTGACGTCATCGGCGACAAATGCCTTAGGTCACATGGTTAGTCGACAGACAGTGGCCAGGAGACTCAGGCTCATGGAATCAGGTCTTTGAGACCATACAGAGGACAGCGCAACATCGTCGTCTGCGATTGAGATGGGCCCGGACTGTACGACGTTGGCAACGACGTGACTGGCAGAGGGTTGTCTTCACTGACGAAAGTCGATTCTGTATGTTTAGGGCTGATGGAAGACAACGTGTTTACCGCCGAAGGGGTGAACGAACGGCGGCGTGTTGCGTGCAGGAGGTCGTACCATATGGTGGAGGGAGTGTCATGGTGTGGGGAGGGATTTGTGGGCAGGAGAGCACACCACTGGTCATCGTTGACGGAAACTTGACAGCTCAGCGTTACATGGATAACATTCTTCGTCCAATTGTCCTACCATTTCTCCAACAGCAGCCACATGGTGTCATTTATCAGCATGACAACGCTAGAGCCCATATAGCCAGAATTGTCACTAACTTCCTCGCAGCCAACAACGTCAACGCCCTGCCGTGGCCTGCACGCTCACCCGAAATGTCCCCCAAAGAACACCTCTGGGACTTGATGGATCGTCGTGTTCGACAACGACCACACTCTCCAGCCAACCGGCAAGAATTGATCTTGGCTCTCCAAGAAAAATGGCGTCAAATCCCACGTGACCTCATCAGACGACTGACTTTTTCTGTGCGTCGAAGAGTTTTTGCGTGTATTGAGGCATTTGGTGGTCACACACGCTACTAATGACTTGTTATTGAACGTGAGCGATTGTTTATGTACTCTGCCTATTGTCCATGATTCTGAAAGCTCGAGTTTTGTACCACACCCACCTTTGGGGGGCTCTGACGTCATTCTTGGTCGCGCTATGATTGTCATATTCAGTGTTGATTATGTTGATATATCGATCTTCTCAATACACTTTACTTCATGCATGTATGTTTTGTTGTTTTTGAACAAGACTGATTTCAAATTCTGGTAAAGTTTCTTTTGGACGTCAGTTTATATAGCATATATACTGAACAGCATTGAAAACGCACCACCATGAAAATGGATGTATTTTTATCCGGGCTTAAGTCATATGAAAATATATAAGTGAATGAGTAATATACGACGTTCTGGACGAAGCATGAAGATGAACAGCTCGTCAAAACACATTCCTAATTTTTGTGTGAGCGAAATCGCCAAAACGCAACAAATTGCGTGCACATCATGGAAAACGTGTTTGGTTTCACGGGAAGCATGCAGAAGAGGGCTATAAAAGACATACTTTTAAAAGCCACATCACTTGTTGCCACAGACGTAAAGGGTACTGACACAAGAAATGCCAAGATTAACAGCAGAGGAACGTGAACGTGCCTTGGGCATGCTTCAAGTTGGTACGTCAAGTAGAGTCGTTGCACAACGGTTTCAATGCCATCATTCAACAGTCCTCAGGCTACTGAGCAGATACCAGCAGACAACCGCCAGAGATCGACCACGTCCGGGTCAACGTCGTGTAACTACACCACGTCAGGATCGCCATATTGTTCGTCGGCATCTTCGTGATCGTACACTTCCGGCTACCAGGACTGCAGCAACCGTACAAGGCCGACGGGGTTTTATCAGCGCTGACACCGTACGTCGCCGTCTCAGCTCAGCAGGGCTACGTGCTCGACGTCCATATGTTGGACCCATACTCACTGATCGACATCGAAATGAACGTCTGCGTTGGGCCAAAAGGCATCGTCATTGGAGATTGCGGCAATGGCATGGTGTGCTGTTCTCTGATGAGTCCCGTTTTCATTTACGGAATTGCTGACGGTCGACTGCGAGTGTGGCGTCGACGTGGAGAACGTTACCACAATGACTGCGTTCAGACAGATCGATGGGGGGGAGGGAGTGTCATGGTGTGGGGCGGCATCAGTCATAACCATCGAAAAGGGCTCCATGTTTGTCGTGGAAGAGTTAATGCCCTTTACTACAGGAATAATATATTGGCAAATCACGTCATCCCATTCTTTCATCAGCACCAGGATATGCACACCTTCCAGCAAGATAATGCAAGAGCGCACACAGCACATGTTTCAACACAGTACCTAGCGAACAATAATGTGCCTCTGCTTCCATGGCCAGCCCTGTCACCCGATCTATCGCCAATTGAACATCTATGGGATTACCTGGGTCAACGCCTCTCACGTCGTCCGCAAGTACAGAACCTGAGAGAATTTGAAGATACACTACGTCATGAGTGGAATGCCCCAGAACACTATTCGCAGACTTATTCGATCAATGAGAAGACGTTGCATGGCCTGTGTTGCTGTCAATGGCGGACATACCCGATATTTACTTTTCATTTTAACCCTATGTGTCTTCCTTACACTGATGACTTAATTGTAATTACTGTGTGGTATTCCTGTTTCCTTTGTCGTCTTTCTTAATAATCCGTCTATGTCTGTTCTAATCAAAATCGGTCATTGCTCAAGTTGTTTTTGTAATATTTCAAGATTTATTGCTGGTGTGTTTTCAATGCTGTTCAGTATATATTGAACAACAAAAGTTCCTGTGACATTGAATACGATTTAATCCAAAGTAATGGTTTTTTTACCAAATCTGAAACAATTTCGGTTTGCAACAGATAAAAGACTCCTGCAAGTGTTCAAATGGTTTAATTTGCCATACTGACTTCGAATTCAGAAAATGCGTGATTTCATAAAAAACATGTACATGCCAAAATGTCAATTTACAAATCAATAGCATGTGTGTCCACCTCTGATTGCGATGCAAGCAACACATCCTCGTCTCGCACAAAGTCCTGTGGGATAACTCTCCATATCTGCTGGAGCATGTTTCGAAGTTCCTGGAGTGTCTGTGCAACACGTGGTTGACGTCGAAGGCGCCGATCCATCTCATCCCACATGTGCTCGATTGTTGAGAGATCAGGGGAGCGAGCCGGCCAGGGGATGACAGTCACGTTGTTTTGTTGAAGAGAATCCTGAACAAGTCGAGCAATATGAGACCGACCGTTGTCATGTTGAAAGGTAATGCCTGGGCCATGACGATGCAAAAACGGTAGAACAGGGTCGATGATCTCGTCGCGGTTGCGCTGTCCATTGAAATTTCCCTCTACCAGTATCAAACGGGTCCTCTGTCTTGCTGTAACCCCAACCCATACCACAACGCTGCCGCCCCCGAACCGATCTTCTTCCATGACACAATGATTGACGTAACGTTTACCTCGACGTCGGTACACTCGAATCCGTCCATCGCTGTGGCTGAAGTGAAAACGAGACTCGTCAGTGAATAGAACTTTTCCCCACTGGATGGCCGTCCAGCGTAGACGCTGTCTGCACCATTGTAGAAGTGCTTGACGGTGGTTTCCTGTCAAAATGGGACGTCTGGCGGGTCTTCTGGCGACAATCCCTGCACATCTGAGGCGACGACGTACGGTTTGTGAAGATATTCGTCGAAGGCCAGGGATGCTTCTTGCAGTCACTGTTGCTGGCTGGAATCGATTTCGTAGGTGTGTTGTTCGAATCCAGTTGTCTTGTCGCTTATTGGTTACGCGTGGCCTGCCATTCCGGGGATGGTCTCTGACTGCATTCGCCTGTTGTCAACGTTGCCATAAACACCAAATGGTGTTCATGTGGACGTTAAATTGTCTTGCAACATCACGTTGACTCGATCCTGCTTCAATCATACCAATGGCTCGAAGACCCGCATTTTCGGACAGGCGTGGCATTTCGTAATGTTGATTAATTGCGTAATTTTGTTGTTTTTCTGAGTGATTGTTGTCAGCACGATGCTAAACAATGCATATGGAATCCCGTTAACGCACATGTTTTTATACCCATTCGTGTGTAGTGAAATGCGATTGGGCTTGCATAAAAGTCAACTTTTGCGTGGAATGCATGCTTTTCTGTAGCAGTTGCGTTTTTGTGACTTGATTCCATACATGTACTACAATATTGAAAACCAAACTTTACTTGTTTGAAAAATACACTAAAATATTGGTGTCACAGGAACTTTTGTTGTTGAGTATATTTTAAAATCCTTTAACTCCAATTTGTAGCTTCATTGATCAGCAGCTTTACATGTGGCTCTGTACACATTATGCATTGTTTCCAGTTAATATATATTTTAGCAGATCGATTACTATTTTCCATTTTCTTCTTTCTTGTGTGTTTTCAGTCTTCCATTGGAATTGTGCTCAGGCTGTACGTTTAAAATAATATACCTTACAGCAATGTGGTGGGCGCAAATAGGCCTTCTGTTGCCCAAGTCGGCTTAATATGTTACGCACAATCAACTTTATCGTGAACATATTACGCTATAAACAGGTTACGATGATAACAACATTACGATTATATACGTAAATAACTCACAAAATGCAGAATACACACACACACACATACACACACACACACACACACACACACACACACACACACACACACACACACACACACACACACACACACACACACACTCCTCTAGATCGAGACAGAAGAAAAATGTAATACGTTTAACCAATTAAACAGAAAAAAGACAATTACTAGGAGAAGTGAGATTTAACAAGTAAAATCATTTCCTTAGATTACGAAGCTAAATGTCATTAGAACGAAACCACACATTACGGGCAATTTTGATAATTTCTTAAAGGGCTTCGTCAATCCAGAAATATATCTTGCTCCTGACAATTTGCACCGATACCGATGTCTTTGTATAGACGGTGTTGAACTGTAACAAAAATAGGGAAAGAAAGCAACACAAAACTTACCTGGTGTCTTCCAATAATATACATTCCCAGACTTAGGTGATGTATTGTCTGGTTCTACAAGACGTTTGTCGAGAAGCTGACAAGTTCCATCAGTTTTACCATACGTAAAGGACAGACACGAAGATGTATTGTGGCAGAACTCTGCACACTGGTGAACCATGCTGGACACAGACTCCGACACAGGTATGACAGGGAATCCTTTGCCAGCCAACGTAACATTCTGGGTGAATCCCGATTTCTGATCACCATGAACTTCTGACAACCAAACCAAAAAGAAGAAGACGAGTCCTCCCTGTTTACATCGAAATATCTTCAGAGCTAGTTCAAACGTCTTCATGTCGAGTTTACTTGTACAGTTATTTTGCAGTTGGTCGTTGGTTGCCGAGCGGTGTGATACGCTTGGTTGCTTGGTTGGTGAACACTACTGTCATAAAACTACGCTGTATCATTGATACGTTGCATGTATACAACCACAACGTTACTTGAGCCACAGAGGCATCAATAATTAAAATACCCATTCGAAGGTATTCTTAAGAAAAGAAAAAGTTGATTGAGAATCAATGCTGCAGGCAACCCGGTGAAGAAACACATAGAGTGAACAAACACACTTCACGGGGTTGAGGTCTTTACTATTACTAGATTAAAGATCATAGACACCCTGAAACACATACACTCTTCAAAAAAAGAAACGCACAGGTAGATTTTTAGTAAATTTATTGTACATAATAAGGTCGATATCTTTAATTTATCATAGATATAAATATGATTATTTTTTTGGAGCTCGTTAGTCACATGTTGTTGTTGTTGTACAAAGGCATTGAAAACTGTTCATTGTCATGTCACATAAGGCCACAAGGTTGCGCTGAACTCAGTATCTCGTGTGACCGCCCCGGGCAGCAATCACGGCTCTGCATCTCCTCGGCACTGACTGGATAGGTGTACGAATTCTGTCCTGCGGAATTCTACGCCATTCTGCTTGTAACGCGTTGGCCAGTTGTGGGAGTGTCTGCGGCGTGTTCTGACGTTGACGTACACGTCGATCGAGTTCATCCCAGAGGTGTTCGTCTTGGTTGAGATTTGGAGATCTCGACGGCCAGGTCAAGGCGTTGATGTTTTTCCAATTTATATTCCGGATCTTTTGTGTAGTCAGGTTCAGTGAACCACATACTGCCTGTGCGGTTTTTTTTAAGAGTGTATACTCTTCAAAAAAGGAACGCAAAGCCAGATTTGTGTAACGTAGTAAAACACATTCATACGAGGAACCGTACAAGATATTGAGCCAAAATGTTGTGGGGAGAACACTTGGTGATTGTAGTCATCTCAGTTATCGGTGCAAAGCAAAAGACCAAGGTAAAGGTCAGCCATCATCAATAACGCGTATGCCCCCATTGGAATCGATAGCAGCCTGACATCTCCCGCCCATGGAGGAAACGAGTATGCTAATCACATCCTGGGGAGTGGTAGCCCACTCGGCATGCAACGCAAAAGCCAACTGCTGCAACGTCCCACAGGTGTTCTGTCGGGTTCAAACCCGGAGATCTGGAGGGCCAGGGGAGAACATCGACGTTATGTTGTGGAAACAGGCTCTTGTGATCCGTGATGTATGCGGTCGAGCGTTGTCCTGCTGGAATACATCGTTGCCGTTGGGTGCAATTGGGAGGATGTATAGTAGGAGAATTTCGTTGAGCCGTAAGATTGCCCTAGATATGGACCAAACCTGTCCTGCCATGATGAAAGATAGCCGCCCACATCATTACGCTACCCCAACAAAACATGTCCACTTCCTGTACGCAGTTTCCGGCGTAACGTTCTCCCCGACGTCTGTAGACCCGTGTTCTTCCATCCCCTCGACGGAGGAGTAATATTGATTCGTCGCTGAATCAGACATCTCTCCATCGCCGTTGAACCCATACCCTGTGTTAACGATACCAATGCAGTCGGTGTTGACGATGTTCTCGACTCAATATGACGCGTCGAACAGGACGTCTTGCTCGTAGACCTGCTGTCCATGAACGGTTTCGTACGGTCTGGTCGGAGATTCTGTATTTGGGATGCGGTTGATCCTGAGGTGGCTGTGGTCGTCCTTTCGCGTAGGTGGCGCAGTCGTATGTAGCGATCTTGGGCGGGGTGGTAACTCTTGGTCGTCCCGACCTTAGCCGATCACTAGTTGACCCATGCTGTTGAAACCTATCCCATAGCCTTGTGATGGTGCTGGTCGCTACATTGAAAACCCTGGCTACAGCTGATCAGGATTCCCCTGCATTCAAGCGGCCTATGACGTTGTTTCTTTGCACTTCTGTTAATCTTGGCATGTCTTTGAACTGTCACTTTTCGATTGACGCAGATGCCAGGCAATCACAAAAGCTGCACTTTAATACCGCCAATAGTGCTGCTGCAAGTTAAGTGCGTGCAGCTTCACTGCCCTTTTGTTGATGCCCGGGGTCCGTTTTTTTCCGAATCGTACGTGTTTCCCGACTAAGGGTTTGCGTGTCCTTGTTGTGATCATTTTGATCCGGAAATTTATCACTGACACTATAACACATTAAACCTCTTCATTTTCCGCTAATTTTGTTTTTATGGGCAAAAATATCCGTGTTGCGTTTCCTTTTTGAAGAGTATAATTACATAATAAATAATAGGTACAACATTATAATTAATGCAACATACATATACATAGCATAGGCTTATCACAAATAAGTATTACATATCAGTGACCTATTAAAATACTAGATAGGCTGTGTCCTCAACGCTTATACCAGAAAATACACAGTTGGAAACAAATACAATACTGACATCCAAGGGGGATAACTCCTTGACTTTTACATTGGCTGCAGAGAAAGTACACAAAATAATTATAGAACTCTTACAGAAGGGTGTGACTTCCCACTGCTATACTTATGGCAACACCACATTGATCGATCTGCATAAGTAACACATAGACTAAAACACTATTTAACATTTAATATATTGAACACAGCAACAAACACATTTTACAATGATTCGCATGTATCACATCTGAATCTTTACATTACAAAACTTTTTAAAGCATTCTCGAAGTAAAACAACACTTACACACGTAATTCTTTGAAGTGATAGAATATCTTTGAGTGATAAATTATAGTTGTTTAGCTTACCTTATGCAGATTTAAAAAAATAGACGTAACCAACATTTAAATTAGATTACATACATTAAGTTTACTTAATATGACTTTATACGTAGTGTTTTATTTCAATACAACACAAAATAGAGAGTATAGCTATTTAACTCACCTGATTTAAATTACAACTTTATTCTTTGCTGAGCAGTTCTGTCAGTTCGTGAGCTGAGAGAGTATGCAGTGTAATCAAAGTATGCAGTTTAACAAAAGGTGTTAGCTTGGCTCTAGGTTATACAGGACAGATACAGTCTGTGTTATAGCTGACTAACAAGCAATAAGATGTAAAAGATATAATTATGTAAAAAGCTGAAATGAAATTAAAAGAAAAAGTTAAAAAGACACATTAACCACACAAGTGTGAGTGGGTGTGTGAGTTTGATTTTACGCCGCTTTTAGCAATATTCAAGCAATATCACGGCGGGGGACACCAGAAATGGGCTTCAAACATTGTACCCATGTCAGGAATCGAACCCGGGACTTCGGCGTGACGAGCGAACGCTTTAACCACTAGGCTATCCGACCGCCCCTACCACACAAGTATATAATCAGAGGAGTATGCGACACATATCATGTTGTCAATTCAAAATAAGTGAGGTGAAATTGGGTTTAACGTCGCGTCCAAGATTATTGCACTTATATAGCGACGTGCATGCACGTGTATGTGTGTGTGTGGCTGCTTGTACTAGTCCGGACTGATGCCGATTTATAGTGCTAGCTCATGATCACTGAGATACCATGCCGCAGTTTAACATGAATACCCCACTCAGACACAGTATACTGACTCCGAGCCGACCAGTCCTTGTTTTAGCCCCTTAATGCCGAGCGCCAGACAGGGTAACAACAAGTACAATCTTTTAACGTCTTTTTGTATGACGCGGCCCGGGATCGAACCCTGGACCTTCCGCTCTCCGGGCGGACGCTCTACCACAAGACCACGGAGGCGGTCCAATTCAAAATAATAGTTTTTCGTTATGGTAGCACAATTATTTCTTACTTTAATCGGGGGAATGTGCGGACCAATAGTCTCAGCCGCAGCAATTCACTGCAGAGTTGAGTCCCTTGGGACGCGAGAAACCTATGTTCGTGGGTTCGAATCCCAGGTCGTCCCGATTATGTTTCTAGGTTTGTCATCACCATACCCGTGCTCGTGTGTTTCAACAATTGATAAACATCTCATGAGACATGCAAAACTTCGGGCTTTCCCCCTCGTTAAGCAGACACGCCGTGATATACATGTAACTGGAAGTTAAAAACGTCCTTAAAAACAACTCAATCATTCATGTTATTGATTGCATCAAAGTTGAACCGGGGGTCATATTAAGCTTATATCACTTTCAGCATTAAATATTGGCTTATTTTGTTGCCGGGGACACGAATGGCCCAGCCGTCTAAGGCGCCGCGATTTGCTTTGCAGAGTTGCGTCCCTTGGGCACGCCAGCAACCTATGATTGTGGGTTCGAATCCCGGTTCACCACGATTATGTTTCTAGGTTTGTCAGCACAATACCCTTGCTCGTGGGTTTCACCGAAGTGGTAAACGTCTGAGACCTGCATCACTTCGGGCTTCCCTCCCACATTAAGCTGACACGCCGCGATATAACTGGAATACTGTTAAAAGCGGCGTTAAACCCAACTCACTCACTGTACGTTGAACCATTCAGGAAAGAAGACCTGATGTTTGTGAATCATATTTCTGTCAAATATTTTGTTTGGTTTCGTGGATTCTCGAAGAGCTCGCAGTCGTCTCTGAACACTTACCACAGTTGTACCAGATAGGTCATGGGGATTGACATATACGTCTCTATCAGAGCTAGATTCCGTTGTCGATGTAGTAAAGACCGGCTTCCAGTCCCTCATCGATAAGCCTTCTCAAGAAGCACGGGAAATTCAGCACCAGAAACGCCTTTTGAACAAAGTATTTTTTACCTCTTTTGATACATTTTGTTCAAATTATCACACACTGTAGTTTTCTCCATTGACCTCTCTAATATACCCTGCGTGACGTTTAAGACACTATTTCGCGAAAATAGTTCCATTTTTTCCGATTACTTGTACACGTGAAACTTTCTCAATACGTATTCATCATCATCGGAATGTGTTTCTAATTTTCCGATACAATCATACCAAATGTGGCCATTCGTCAACACTCGCCCCTTTTCGTAACCTGCAAGAAGACTCGTCCCCCTATCGATGAATGTTATGTGCGAAAATACGACAAACCAATCGGAATGCGCGTATGATTTCAAGTTCTTCGTCAAAGAATTCCTCAGAAGTAATTTTTGATTT